TGTAAATGTTTAGACAGCTTTGTTCTCTGCCCCAGGTATCTTTCTCTTGTGACACACTTTTCTATCAGACCCTATCGGTAAGCCTTCAAAGCATTATTGCTGCAACCCAAACTGGAGGATTTAAATAAGGAGGAGGAAAATTCAAGATATGAAACATATTTTTGATCAGCCAGGCATCTCCTTCCTCCTACCCTCAGGAATTGTGTGTGCTAAGCAACTCAAACCTTTGTTAGCTCGCTCTTCCCCAGTTAAGAGGAAACATCTGCTATTTGGAGGAAGTATTGATCAGAGAAGAAATATTCCCTGCAAATACTTCTGTTATAGGCAGGCTGCCCATGTGTCTAAAAGGCTTGGATGCCATGTTTCACCAATGAAAGTAACTTATGGAGGCTTAGGTGGTGTTCTTGTCTTCATACCAAAAGAAACCTTGCATCTTTTTCCACTTGTGCAAAGACTTCATAACAGTGAAGCATTAACAAATGGAATTTGATGTCAAAATAAGTGAGATTTGCAATTAATTTAAAAGGCTAAAATCTCTGTTAACTCTGAAGATTACTTTCTTGCCATAATTGCTCTGTATGGTATAACAGGCTCTGTATCAGAAGCAATATAGGAAGGAAAACCCTGAGACAGACAGGACTTCCAACTGGTTTCCAGAGAGAGAAATTGATCTTATTTGTTGTAGAGTTGTTGTTGAAGTACTGAGTTTTATGGGAAGAAATGAATTTTATTGTGTACCTTTAGGAAAGGTTCATCTGTTGATACTTAAGTTTACACTTAAGTTTGTTAGAGCAGTAGTTGATGGAAGAACAAGAAGTAGGAAGAAATCATGTTGGATGAAGTTATGGGATAGAATGAATGGATTATCTACAAAGACTACCTGATTTATCCTCCTCAGCTGGACAGATGCTAGTTTTTACCCTGTCCTGGTTGGTGCAATGGCTATGTGTGTTTGCAGGGGAAAAAAAGATGCTTCCTGTGGTAATAGTCTGTCTTTTTGTCTTGATCTATGGTGTATGTTGTGATGAATTCATGAAGGTTTTGGTTCAGAGCCTTGAAGGTGTCTGAACATAACAAGGCTTGTGAGCTTTCAACAGCATGAATCCAGATGCTCTGCTTAAGCTGCTTGGTGGTAATTGTGTTAGTGATTTCACAGTATTTCTGTAGAAAATAACTTGTTCTGTTCTTGTGCTTTTTCTAGAGTTGGAAAAACAGTTGGTCAAGGGTGTGTGACTCTCTTCCTAATGCATTTTTCTAGGCCATTTCTTTCTAGGCTGTCTCTGTGGCACTGGGAGGCTCTGCTTAGCTTTTTTGTAAATATTTAAAGCTGGCACTGGAAGACCCAGACAGGACTGCTTGCTGTCTGTGCTGTACAAAGGATGAAGTCACTGCCTCCTGAGGGGCCCTCAGTCCAGGAAAAACAGGAAGACTGAGGATGAAAACTCAGCACTGTGCCCAGCTACGCTTGTTAGTAGATAGGCAACTGAAATCAAACTCTGACCATGGCCTGGTGTTTAGTGTTGTGCAAGTTCAAATTAATATTTCCGCCCAAGAATCTTATGGTAGTTCAGTAGCACGGTGGGGTGTCTCTTATCTCTGAGCAACTCTAACCAGGGGGTTTTCTTTCATCTGCATACTCCAGGGCTGAAGAGTTGTCTTTGGAGAACTCTTTGTATGTGTGTCTAGACAGCTTCAGACTCAAACCAGGGGGTTTTGGAGGGGAATGCCTGGTGGGTGTGAAAGGGGTTTGGATCTGAAAGGTTACCTAAAAAGAACATGGGAGCCTGTTTTTCCTACTGTGGTACCTTCTCTGGTAACTGCTGAGTGTAAGTTTTTCTTCTTGGACATTGCTTTCAAATATTGTTTTGACGTATTGCTGCTAGTCTCTATGTTTGAACAAGAAAGTTACCAGTGATCATGCCTTATATTCTTGAATTCTTCAGCTACCTCTGAAAAGACTGCATTTCAAAGGGGGATGTTCACGTGCCATTACAGGAAGCATTTACAACTGCTAGTTGTGGGGTAGGAGTCAGTTGCCTATTCACACTAGAGTAGTGTGCAACTTGTTCACTGTGTAAGCTTGTTTATCCTTGGAAGTTTTGCTGTTGAGTTTTGCTTAAATGAGACTAGCTCCGAGTTGTGCTGTTAGCTTGTTTTTCTTAACTGACATGCGGCTCCTTGATAGAAGATCTTTCCCGTTCGTTAGTTCTTGACTTGCATGCTCTGAAATACCTTTTCCACAGGTTATAAGAAATATAGGCTATTTTGAGGTCACCTTTTTTCTTTTGTACATATGTATTTGTGTAACTTGAGACTAGAATGTTATACTTCTTGTAGTTCATTCAGTGGAGTTGAAACAACGAGGTTTAACTGCTGAATTGAAACCTCCTTGTCCACGTTGGCCCTTTCAGTTCTGGGGAAGCATCTGTGTCCAAGAAGAGAGTTTATAGTATGTGCTTCTATTTTAGCATACGTTTCAGTGTTCATTCTGTGTTTTTGCTGACTTAATCTGAAGTTTGACAGGCATGATTCTGCCCATCATTGGGACAGGACTTTGCTTTCTGTGCCCAACATAGTGAAAACCAAATTAAGGGCCCATAAATCTGGATATACTGCAGGGACTATAATTCACTTAGCTTACCTTAAATGTCCCTCAATGGCTGGCAATTATAAATCAGTAGTCTCACTTTTCAGAGTTTAATTGGAATGAATGTGAACTGATTTAAGGTCTTTGATAGATTAAAACTAAACCATGAAACACTTGAGCCAACCTACCAAAAAAAAAACAGTCTCAGTGTGGGCATTAGTAACTCATTTGATGCTGACAGTATGAGAAGACTTACTAAAATAAGCATGAAACACATCTACCTGGTTTTTAGACTTGCTACTATTGGATAAGTTTGTGGTAGGTTCAAATTGCTTGCCTTAATGTAACTTGAAGGAAGAATTAGTAAATGAAGTTCCAGATCTCGTACTTTCGACTCTGTGCAATAGTTAATAAAAGCTGGCCAACAAAAAGAAGTCTCTGTTCTTGTTCCTATAAAAAGGTCTCCTGTTTATGTGATGGCAACAACCATCAATTATTTTTCAGTTGTCCAGTTTGGCTGTGAGCCAGTACATTGTAGAATAGCTGATTTCCTTGCTGTAATTTTGGAATTTCTAAGTGTTTTTGTAACTTTTTAAATGGGATTTATGAAAGTGGGGGACTAATGGTATTTGTCTGCTAGAGCTGAGTACAGGCAGAACCCGTGCTGTGCAAGAGTCACTTAACTTTACCGCTAATCTTGGAGCTATAGCACCACCTGCTATTCTTGCTGTAGGTTTCACAAGTGAAAATGGAATTATCTGTTATGGTGTAGTGGTTTGTAAATTATCTGTGGCAGTCTAGTTTTAAACCATTAAACTTGTGCTGTCTGTGACTCATATTAAATATAAGCTGAAATCTTCAGAGCAGAGAGATTAGGATATAAATACAATGTCATCTCATTCCAAGGAAGAAGAAACCATGTTAGAAGTAGGTGTGGACCCAGCAGTCCTCTCCTCTTCTGTCTTCAGGGACAGAGCTTTTTTAATGTTGAAAAGGTAAACTAAAATGGTGGATTATCTAATGCAGAGCACACACATATTTGGAATGCTGATAAATAGAGGGGGTTTATGTGGTGGGTGTGTTCTTGTTTAAGCAAAACTTTCTGCCACTTAAAGGATCAAGCTTAAGCACTCAAGTGAATAAGTCTTTGGGAGCAGCTTGCCAAATGTTTTTGGGAATATGTCATACTAAGCGTAATATATCTTGCAATACTAGTAACTTTGGATTTGGGCAATTTGATATTCCCTTATAATAAATTCAAAATGACAAAAATTTGTCCAGCCTTTAGAGAATGTGTTGTGCTTAAGCTTTCAGTGGACTTGCCAACTTGGTAAGAGCTTCTGGTTGAATGCCACAGTGCTAGTTGTCTGTAGACTTTTATTGTGGGTTGAGGAGAGTCAGGTGGACTTCAAGTTCTCAATTTATTCATTAGATGTGTGCATCTTAGTGAACCAGACTTGCATTGGAGCTGAGTTTTGTCTGTTTAGGTCCAGACACGGAGCTCTCACCTAGAGAAGTGCGTGTGTTCAAGTCTTGCAAGGCTGGGTATAGGCTGTGTGAGTGTTTGGATGGGACATGTCTGCTGAATGAGGGTGGGAATTAGAGCTGGTAAGCAGATGATGCTCTTGCTTAGGGATAAACAATCACCAAGTCTGTGGCTTCACAGTTGTTAGAGATGAGTGAAGCCAGGTTACTGACTGAAAAGTAACTGCAAAAACCTGAAAAATATTACGTGTGATGCAAAGAAGGGAAAGGGGATGTTGGCTGGTGAGAGGGGAAGTCCCCTTCTGACCCTTTCAAGGATAGCCCTCAGATTGACTAGAGTTTATGATGTAATCCAAGCTAAGTATCACACCTTTGAAAGAGATGCCACGTGGCGCTTGCTTGATGCCAGGAGCAAATCTCTCCATGGTCACAGTAGGTGTTTTTTTGCCAATCTGAAAACTTTATCAGTAAGTTTAAATTGGCAATTGGCAGGTTAACTGCTAGCAAGAGAAATACTCTTAACACCTTTTAGCAAAGCATGTTGTGTTTTGTTGAAGGGTGGAATGATCACTGTCTTGTTTGTGGTGGGGTTTTTTTTCTAATTATGTTCAGTGTTTGTAAACCAGTTATACCTTGCATGGAAGATGTTAGAGGAGCATAAAAGTATTAGTTTGAATAATGTGGGTCTGTGGTTGATATTGAAGTACCTCATGCTCATGTTTTGTACTCTTTCACAATAACTGTCTTGAATGTGGTTTGTGTGCACACTTATGTTAATCTATGCATATGAACTTCCTGCCTAGTGACTTTTGAATTGTGTAGCATGCCAGTTAAGATAGTTGAGGTTCCTCTCTGAAAAGATCGTAATTTATCTTGGTGGTGGTGCAGTGCAGATTGATTTAGACTTCTCCTATTCTCTTATCCACAGCAACTGGAGCAGATCCAGAAGGAGCTAAGTGTTCTGGAAGAAGATATTAAACGAGTAGAGGTGAGGTGCCCAGACATTGTTCTGACTCTGGCAATTTTTCATTTTCATCAAGCTGTCTGCCTTGCTGTGGGCCTGCTGTGTTAAATTTATGGCATTTGAGTCAGTAATGGGAAAATGAACAGATGATAGTCTGTCTTTAATTTGTTCATTTAGTTGATGCATGCAAGCTGCAGGTTGGTAAGAGGGGGCTTTGCTGAAACCTAGCTCTTATACAATCATATCTTTCAATTTCTTAGGTAGTAAGTATTTTAGAATAATTGCTAGGAATCAATAGCCAGTATATTGATCATAATTTACGATTTTTGTACGTTGCAACGTTCTGGCTATTTGCACAGGCTGTTTAAATCTTAGCAGCATGCCACTCGTAAAATGAAGAGGTATTGGGGGGGTGCACAAGAGAGCTGTAATGCAGAGACTGGTTAGGAGCAGAAGCAGCTCCTGCTGCATGTCAAAACAGAAGCAATCTGCTACCTCCTGATATAATTCTCTTAATTCCTTAATGATGGGAATCTCCTGAGATTAAGAATTATTCTCCAACTATTTGTAAACCCATCAGCTCAATCCCTCTGACCTTATTGAGTGCCTAGGTTCCTCCTTGGTCCTTTCCTCTAATCGTTCTAGTGTTTTGATCTTGAAATAGGAAACTGATGTTTCAGGAATGCATCAGACTGCCACCTCTCAAAATAGCATTCCTTTAAAGCTTCTTGGGAATCAGTTTGCAGGTCTGCTTCTCTCTTCTTGCTTGTCTAGAGCAGTCAGAACAAGCTCCCAACCACTGCCCAAAAGCCTTTTATATTTCTTCACTTACAATTTATACGCATGCTGATGAATTATCAAAATATAACTAGAACTGACAACTGCAGGAACTTCCCTTCAGCTGATAGCTATGCAAATTGTAACTTTGTAGATTACAGCATTTTTCAGACCTATTTTCCTAAATGTTTCTCAGCTCTTGGGAAATAAGTATACCTTAGCATGTTTCCTTGAGACTGGTAGAATAGGTCTTCAGATCTAGGAGAAGCTATTCCCAAAGCTGTGGGATCCCTCAAAGAATATCTAGCTACCTGCTTTTCTGCTCTTTAATCAGGCACTTCAGTGGACTGCAGCTGGGGTACGTATCTGGTGTGTGATAGTGACCTTGGTTCTGACCTCTAAAGCCTGGGACCTCTCTTGTCACAAATATCCTACTTTCTACCTCAAAACTAATGGGCACCTAGTGGGAATTTGAAAAGCACCAGTAATGTTGTCCTGGAACACTTTGCCCCCCCTAACTAATGAGCTGCAGCATCCTGCATAGCATCCATTTCTCAAATAGATGAAAGGTACAGTCTCATACTGGGTACGCAGCAGTGATTTAGTCTGGCAGTGACAAAGCCAAGTTTATGTGCAAAGTTTTGTCTCTTGTGCGCTTGTCCCACAGAAAGCTGATAGATCCTCTTTTTAAAAGTCTGGGGCATGATACTGACTTTGCCCTGTTGTCTTATGGCTGTTCTTGCCATGACCCATATCCAGCATTACTTTCCAGCTGTGAAGGCTATTAGATAAGTTTGCACATGTCTCAAAAATGCAGTTACAGCTTGCTTGTTCTGCCATGTTTAAGGGAGGTGCTGGGTTAGAGACAATTGGATGGTAACCAAATCCATTGATTTTTGGAGTATAAACTCCAGAACTGCCTCTTTTGGGGCAAAAAGCACTGCAGTTGTAGGATTTCTGAAACCCAGTTGGAATGATAACTGAAAAAATATTGAAGAAAATCAATGTTTCTTCAGGTATAGTAAAGACTTCTAGGTGAGAGTTGAATAAATGTAGATAGTTGGTTATCTTCTTGGAAAAACAAAAAATTACTATGTGAACACCATATATTAGTGCCTACTATTCATGTTTTGTCAGCTTTGCTGTAATGTGGCTTTCTCTTTCAGGAAATGAGTGGCTTGTACTCCCCAGTCAGTGAAGACAGTACAGTGCCGCAGTTCGAGGCTCCCTCACCTTCACACAGGTACAGAACTTGCAACTCAGAACTTGGATTTCAGTTTGTACATACTGCACTGTACTTGCTAGTCCTCTCTGTGCCATGCCCAAAACACAAGCAAAACTAGTTTTTGAGTGCCATACAATATTTTCCTGTTCTGTTTTTGATTGGTATAAACTTTATGTGAACAAAGCAGTGAAGAAAAAGCCATGAGTCTGCAGTTGGATGAAGAGTCTACTCTAAACCAGATGCTGTGGAAAGCTGATGGTTTTAAATGTAGTGTGGATTAGTTAACTTGAGTCATAAGCCTTTGCTATAGTATGAAATATTACTGTTAAATACATGCTACCTTTTCTGCATGTTACGCAGTTCTGCTTGGCATATGAAAGGTCTTAATTTTGTATGATATCGGAGTCCTCTGGCTTCCCCACTCAGCGTGAATGGCTAAAGGTATGGGCTCACAGGATCAAAATTTAAAATATACAGCATATTGATTCTGTTTATCTGCTATCTGGTTTGATTTAATGAAATACCTTTCTAATAACATATTTTCAATGTGGATTTTTGTCTGGAATATTGCATAGTCTGGTTTCTTGATGATAAAATTGCAGATGCTTCTTGTGTCCAAGTTGCATGTGCCAGGGTTTGAAGTGCTCTACTTCTTCATAGCAGTGGTTTTTGGTTGTAAGAAAGCTCTGATTTCACAGGGTCAAGTTATGTTATTAAATGATCATCTCTCCTACTTCTCCCCAGTGTATTTTCCTAATAGTAGAGCTCTCTAAACTGTTGACTTCTGTTATAAAATTGTATTGGTACCTTTTCTGCAATTAGCAGCTCTAAACCTAATAGCCTGGAAGTAAGTAAGAAAAAATGATCAGATTTCTTCCCCTACGGAGATTTAGATACAGTGCTCTGGTAAGCAGCCTAGCAATAATGGCTGGGAATTCTTACCAGGATGCTCTTTCTGGACACAGAGACCAGATTCTCTCATATTTCTATGAAGCTCTAGTTGGACCTGAGGGAAAGGACAGGAATATGGCCAAGATGGATAGGAACAGTGTTATTCTGCCCTTCACTGCTTGCCTAATTTTTGGGTGCAGGTCTATTTTTGATGTGGGTTATTGCTGTTTTGCCAAGCAGCAGTTTTGTGAAGCTGATGAGATTCTTGTTGTGTTCTACTAGTTTTTGTTATTGGCTATTAAATAGGTTGCTTGTTGTTTGCTTCATGGTACTGCTGCTTGGGGAGAACTGGAGCATTGGTTGGGCTGAACTTGTTACACGTTGAACACCTTCAGGGTTAGAAACCTTTCTTTTTTTTTAACACAAGACTGTACTTACGAGAGGAAATGTATCTCTATTACTTGAGCCAAGCTAACAAACAAGCTCCCAAAGAACTTTTTTATCTGTTGAAAGCTGGAATAACATTTTAAGCCCCAGAGTTTTTGTGAAAGAGTTTGGGGAGAAAATCTGCTGTGTGAGGCCTACACTGGCTTCAGTCTACTGAGAATTTCTTGTATTCCTTTATGCCTGTTTATTTCATGTCCTAGGGTCAATCATTCTCAGTTCTTGCTTTTGAAGATATAAGGTAGTGTTCAAAATATTTTAATGACTTTGGTTTGATGTGCTTAACCTGAGGTCTGCGGGGAGGTGGTGGTGGGTTTAGACTATGGTGGGTGCAGAGACCATGGGCTCTCTCTTGCTTGGTCGTCTTATGCTTGTCTGGTTCCATCTCGGCTGTGTCTTCAGCTTTTGGGTTTTTCCTCTGGTAGAACATGCCAGGGGTGTGATATAATAGGGTGTTTAGAGGTTTTCTAGGGTATGTGGGCTTGCCTTTTTCTCTCAGCTTGAGAAGACCCCTTTTCTGTTTCTCAGTGACGTTCCTGCCTTAAGAGGTAGTCTTGAGTGGTCAAAGAGAAAATAGTATGTGAAGGAAGTGTCTGAACAGGTATTGGTTGTTCCTGGACTCTTGTAACTTCTGTCCCTGCCCTGTACTTAGTTTTGTGTAATTCAAGTAATTGAATTGGTTTGAATTACCAGAACTCAGATTCCAGAAAGGTCTACCACTTGAAATGCTTTTTCTTTTCAACATTAAATGTAAATTTTTGAGAGTATCTCAAGAACTGTAACTTTGATTCCTCCTTGAAAAGAATGCTGCAGAACAATGGATAGGAGCTTTAAAATGTGCTGATTTTTCAGCTCTGTTAACTGAAATATTTAATCTCCAAAGTTCTTTTTAGAGATGCTGTGAACCAGTAAGAATGAAATACAAATATAGTTTGAGATGGCTTCACTTCCATGTTACAATGTTATTAAACTTGCAGAGACTTTTTAATTTATCGGGGAATTAAAATGGTGTCTTTAAATTGGAATATAACTTCTTAACATGCTTAACACCCTGCTAATGAAATATAATTGTATAAAATTTTACTAATGTGTCTTATAAATAGTACAAAGTTATCATAGACCTGTGCTGAGATGAAGAAAATCTCTTTATCCTTTGAATTTAAAGTTCTAGAAAATAGAGTTCTTTGGAATTTGGTTTTATCTGGTTTGTAGTGACTTGCCCTTACTCATCTACTTCCTGTAAATCACAGGCTTGCTTCATTAATTCTCTGTTTCTTTTCATTGTTTGTAGCTTCCCCCCCACACTCTTAACATCTTGAAAATGTGAACTTACTATGCCTCCCCCATCTTCCTTTGTAAGTTCTTTAGCAAAAAAACAAGTATGGCTATCATGTTCAAATACATTCTTGGCTTCAAGAAACACGTTTTCTCTTACGCTTGTACAGGGTATGATGAAATATTAAATTGGGTAATAGCACAGCACTTGTTTACGGCATTGCAGATTGCTGGGTTTGTATACTAATAGAGAAGAAGAGGGGAAGAATAAGGGAAAAGAACAAATAGTTCTGTGTAGGGTTTTTCTGCACAGGCGCGCATGCTATTTTTGCTACCAGTAAATGGTGCAAACAGGAGATACAAATAAGCAACTTCTCTGTGACTACATATTCAGGCAGTAATAGCAAATAACAAACTATCACTCTAAAATGAGTTTCTGGGGAAAGATTCTGATCTAAAATTTAGTTGCCTGGTAACTCTGATTCAGTTATAAAAATCCTGATCTCCTTTCCCTCCATTTGTTCTAATTACCCCCTCCCACCCCCGTAAGGTTATAACAAATGGGATTTATAGTCTGCAGGTTGCTGCGTTTTTGTTGTTCCAGGTTTTTAAATGTGTCGTGTTAGTGTAGCTGAATTTGCTCATTGAACCTAATGTTACAGCTTTTAAAAAGAATTCGGAGGGAACTTTTGTAATTTTCTGATTATTTGCTTCCTGTTTTTAAAAGGAAAAACATTCAAGCGTATGCCAGTTAACTCAGCTACAGGCATCACACAGAAATTACTTCGAATTTGTATTCTGGTTAGGGAAATGACATCTGCACTCTTGAAGGCTTTACATCACCAGACAACCTGCAGCAAAACGAGACCAAACACCATAATTCCATGTGTTTTGCTGTTAATTGCCACTATACCTGTCTCAGAGTGGAGTACTTTTTCATCACTTTCCAGCCGAGCGTCTTATGCTGTTCCTGGCAGGATCTGCTGTACGTGTTTCATTATTTCATGTAGCCAACGTTCTAATTTAAAGTTCATTGTCCCCGACCATGCCTGAAACAACTTTGCTGTTTTCTCCCTTGCAATAGCTCGTGGCAAATAATGATTTTTTTTATCCCTCAGATTTTCTTGGTTTGCAGCTTTTGTCTTGCCTGTTACAGAAGCCAAATCAATCTCATCTTGCAAGTTAACCACTAATGAGACTTTAAAACCATCTCTCATCTTCTGTTTCTACTTCCCTCTACCTCCAGGGGAGCTTAAAACATTCAGAGAAATATTTAAGCGCTAGTACCACTGTTTCATCCTTATAGACTTATGGGGTACCCTGACCAGTGTTTCAGCCAAACCACTTGTTTTATGACCAAGAATGTCAAGTCTACACATCAGTTCTGGCAGCTGTTACATAAACATCAATAGGTACAATCATCTTTTACAAAACTAGGACCTATAGCTGTGTTCTGGCAGCTTTTTAAAAGAAACCTTTAGCTTTCCCAAGCAATCCTTAAATCTAAGGTTACCTCGTAAGTAAGACTAAGAATAATGAACCCAGATAGCTTCTTTCCTGTCCAAGCCAAATGACATCGCAGAAGCAAGCGAGTTACAAAGATTTTTAGAAATAAATCATGGTGATGTTTGTAATGTGTTCTCCATAATTAATAAAATGGTGTTCTTGTGTACTAAGCTTTACTTGTCCTAAGAGTACTTTAAATTTTTGAGTGATAAGGGTACTTTAGTCTGGTGTTTTATTGTGAGAGCTAAATATTTTGCCCATATGTGCAAGAATACTGAACCACCTGTTTTCTGCTTGTATCAGTAGATCCTTTTGCAGTTTTGAAAGTTAAATCTCTTGAGTTTGCATATGTATACTATGTTTTGAAAACAGTGATTTAAGGTATGTTGTGTCATTATAGATACTATGTAGCTATATATGGTGTAGCATTTTCTAATAATAGTAATCCTGGCTGTCAGTATTTTCTAGTTTATTTCTGTATTTCATTACTTGTCTGTTTTGTGTGTCTTCAGAGATGTCTGGAATACTAGTGTCTGTCTTAAGCTGATTTCTCTAGCTTTTCTCTTCACAGTGCTGTTTCAAATGCCACAGCATTAAACTTTTTTTTGAAAGGAACTGAAAAGCAATGGTAGCATGTCTTCAGAATGTCTTATCCTGCATATTTCATACAAAAGATATGCTTTTGCATTCTAATTAGGAATTATTAGATTGCAGCACACATAACTGTGTGACAGCATTCTGCTCTAGGAGACCCCTGTATTTAAAAAAAAAAAAAAATCCCCCCAAACCCTCAAACAAAAAATAACCTTGTGTTCCCTGTCTGTAAAATGAATTTTAAAGGCAAGTATGCTGCAGGATGTAAAGGGGGGAATAGCAAACCGGTTAAAAATGATAAAGGATGGTTGTACAGTGATTTTAAGCAGACTATTTCTTTTGGTTTTGCAGTAGTATTATTGACTCCACGGAGTATAGCCAGCCTCCAGGCTTCAGCGGCAGTTCTCAGGTAAGGTAATACATGTGTCTGTGTACAGGGGGGACAAGAGTGTGAATGTGGAGGGTGGGCAGAGATTGGGTACAACTCCGTCTATCTCCAGGGTAGTGGTCAACTCAAGTCTTGTAAATGCTTTTAACTGGTTGTGTGGGCAAACTGGAGCCAAGACTACAGCTGTAGGAATGGCTGTCCATAATTGTGAGTGTCCTCAGTGACACCATCAAAGAAATCTGGTGTAATATATTTTGACATCTGACTTTATTCCCAAAGCTGACTTTTGCAGGGAAGAGGGGATATTTTTTGTTCTTCATCTCTTCTCCAAAGTGGGCAGCATTTGGGAAGGGAGGTAAATCCTTGACCCTTTGCATTGACTAAAATAGCTTTGGATCAAACTTGACTTTCAAAGCAAGAAACACTCATTCTCCAACCATACAGCTGTTTTGTAGTTTGTCCTTGTTTAGGGCCTTACAAACTATATTATAAATTCACATAGAGGGTAAAAAGTTGCATATACAGTGAAGCCATTTGGCAGGCAGCCTCCAAACTGTCTGATCCACAGGGCCTCTCAAATGCCAAACAGCACTGCTGTAGTCTTGCAGCTCAGAGGGATTCAGCTGGGCTGGGGAGATGACACTGATAACCAGCTCACAGCTTCAAAAAGGTTAAACAGTTTTGATTTAGACAGATGGACTGTTGGTTATGTGCCAGCTTGCGTCTTTGGTGCTCTCTGGTGGTGGTGGACCATCCATGGCATGCAGCAGTATCAAATTGGTAAATTAATAGAAGTGCTGTTGGATCTTATTTGATGGAGTAACTGATATAAAGAAAAAACACCTGAATTTTGGGCTGATGTGCATGTATGTGTGCATGCAGGTTTTTGGGTTTGTAGCTGTATAACTAACTGGTAATTAGAAATTTCCCTCAATCTGTAGAAAAACGCTTGTTCTTGCTGCTGTGGTCTGGGAGATTTTTTGCTTGAACAAAGAATTGTAGCTCTACCTCACTTCAGAGGGCAAGTGAAATGTGGGTGGAGATCTTATGTTCAGGGCTCTGATGCAGTACAGTGTGTTTGTTCTCCACTGACATTGCTTGTCTCAGTACTTTTCTTTCTATTTCAAAGACAAAATTAATAGCATAGCTGTACTGCTGGTAAGTGCACAAAACAAACAACCTAGACTTTCTAGTCATTCTGTATGACAGCCTTATTTGTGTGAGAATAATCTTTTTTTGTTCTCAAATGCAATTTTTTGTCCTCAAGAGTGCAAGATCTGTACTCTCTAGTGCAAATTTTTGAATTCAACTTTAATATATGTTTGGAGGGGGAGTTGAAAGGGAACTCTTGAAGTTAAACAATTCATTCAAAGATTGTAATTTCAGCAAGACTTTACCATAAAAATAATTTTAAGTATATAAATTCAATTGTGCTTTTTTCTAATTGTCAGTCATGGCAAAAATCATGGATTGGGCACTGCTGGCAGTAAGAAGCTATGCTAGGATGGACAGCGTAGCTTTCTTTCTCAATATAATTACTTTGTGTATTGCTCACGAACATGTTCTTAGGGAAGAATTTATATATCGCAAAGCTACAGGACAGTTTTCTTCCAGAAGCTGAGCTTCAGCAGTAAATAGTGGACAAATCACATCAGCCCTGGGGAATTCTGCAGGTAGTATTTAGTGGCAGTACCTTTCTTTTCTGCTAAAACTAAGCAGCTTGTGTGTAGCTCTGAAGCTTTTCTCCACAGTTTTTAGAGGATTCTTCAGAGCACCTAATGGAGTTCAGGCAGTAAAATCACTCTTGATAACAGAGCAATCCTAATGAATGTCCTCAACTAGGACAACCATAGTAGTTTTAGCAGTTGAATAAAAATTGCTTGGGTAGGTTTTCTCTCTTTTCCCTTTTTTTTTCCCTCCTGTCTCCCAGCATTGCTTAACAAGTAGCCAGGGAGCAGGCTTCATAGAAACTCATTAAATGTTTTGGTAAAACATGAGCAGTTTAAAATGCTTAGCTGGGGAGGATCTGATGAAGATGAGTTAATGCAGATTGATTCCCAGCACAGCTGGTTCACCATGTGCCAGCCTTAGACCTGCTCTGGGGGGATCTTCCTCTGGAGACCCAGCAGGTGTATCAGAGAGAAGGCAAATGCTTACCATGATTGATTCCACCTTGGAGTGGACTGGGCTTATCTGGCAGATCAGACTTGGGCTTGGGTTATATCACTTGTGTCACAGGTGGCTCGTCTTAACTTGAGACTGAAGTGATTGCTCTTCGATGCTTGAAGTCATCTTGAGCTCTGATAGCTCCTGATGTGCTGAGAGAGGCTGGAGCCCTTGCAGGCTGGTGTGCAAAATTAATAGGAAGATACTATAAAAGTGTTCTATTAAGTATGTCTTAAAGCTGCGAAGTTTTAGAAAACTGTAATTAAAAGGTGTCGAGGTAGGAGTGCTTTCCAGTGTTCTACTTGTGTGTTGAGATTGGAGTTGCTATTGAGATGAAACAAGCTGCATAGACCATAGGTGCTGTCAACATGCAAGTGTGAGTCATGATATCGATGTATAACCAGGGGCCTCGCATGGGAAGTGGCATCTGGAGGTTTCACTGCTTGGGGCTTGCTTTTTCCCTAAAATGTTAGGTTACTGTTCATGCAGGTATAAACAGAATTTGAGTGGGCTCTGAACTTAGTTTGTTCTTGTTGGCTTGCTTGATGGCTGTAATGAGGGCAGCCTGTTCTCCTGCATGGATTGAGGAGTTGTATGCAAAGTGGGTTTTGTTAGTGCCATTGAGTGGCATTACGGACTTTGTACGTGGTCAGGGATGTTGCTCATTAGGGAGCTTGGCAGTTCTCAAATCTTTTAAAATTTCCCCGTTAGCTTTGAGTATGCGATATGTGAGACTTCTTTAATATAAACTAAAGCAAGGTGTTCTTCATGCTTCTTGTGTAGTAGAGGAATTGGTTCCTTTTCTTTACTAGTGATTAAAACGAGAAGTACTGTATTTTCTGTTTTGCTTCAGGAGGAGAGCTTACCTATGTAGTTTCAATCCTTTGCTTCTACCTCTCATTACTGCTTGCGTAATGAGAGGTTGGGAAATGGCTTTAATGATGAGTTTCATGGACTTGTTTTCAATTAACCTTTGAACTTCATGGTGTCTTCTGCTTCTATCCTTATTTGCTTAGCTTTATGGAGAGTTACTGAGTTGCTTCAAAAGAAATAATTCAGTAACTAACTCTTTAAAATAAACATCTCCTCTTTTTAATGAGCTGTCTGCCAGGGATCTGGGAAGTATTTTTTGTACAGTCTGTTTGATTTGTGAAGCTGGAAGCCTAGTATCTTTGGCCTCTGCTGTCTATCTGTATAAATGCAAAACGTGACTCCCCAAGGGTTGCTGCTGCCTGTCCTGCGTGTGAGGCTGGAATTGGTACATTTGCAAAGGTTCAGGAAACAAGGACTGTCTAAAAGCAGCTTTTCTTGTTTGTCAAGTTAAAGGGTGCGAAATAGGACCTAAGATTAACTGTTGACAGTGGCAAGATCTTCGTTATTGTCATTTTACGCTTCTAACCCTTCACATATAATGTATAAATTGTTTATAATTTGGTAAAATCTATTTAAATGAAACCCAGGCCTGGCTTTACCTTTCTGAAGTGCTCTGTCTTCTCCATTCAGACCAAAAAGCAGCCGTGGTATAACAGCACGCTAGCCTCACGACGCAAGCGGCTCACAGCTCATTTTGAGGACCTAGAGCAGTGCTATTTTTCCACCAGGATGACACGTGTCTCAGGTGAGTTCCTCTTGCATGGTGTTCAGCTTCTGACATCAGCTACCTCTTCCAGTGCCTAGTCCTCAGAAAAGACTTGCTTTTGAGAGAGTAGCTTTCACTTCTTCCCTGCATGAGAACGTTGCTATACATATTTATATGTTACTCAAATCATCCTGTTTTGCTTTTCTTGACCAATCTTTGAGGTTGCTAAACTTAGGAAAATTTAATCCTGTCACTTTGGAGGGGCAGATGTATTGCTTTGTAATACTGTACTGTGAAGGGCATAAACCACAATAAACAATTTCACTGATACTCATTCTGAAGATGCAAATGTTTGAAAGCAGTGGTTGGGCTGTCTTTCTGCTAGATGTGGTATAAACACAGTAGTTAAACATTGCTATTCAAATACTACAGAGGTATAAACATAAATTGATAAATTCTCCTGTATTTAGCATGCAGTAGGACACTTGGAGGTTATCCTTTATGTTGTCTAGATTGAGTCTTGGTTAACAAATGGCTTGGAGTATAGAAGCTGAGTGTGCAGCAGTGTTGTTGTCCCATGGGGCACACCTTAGATTTAAGGCTTGTTTTGTAGAATTAGAAGCTGTTTTCAAAATTGCCTAGATTGCCTCATTCATAATTGAGTAACAGTGTGACAGCAGCTAGAGTAATTGTTACCTAGTGGATGGATGGTTCTTAATTACATGACAAGATTCTCTAAGAAACAAACAGGTCAAATGAATGTCTTCAGGGCAAGGAAGGTTGCTCTGTGGTCCCTCTGGGGAAGAGAAACCAGCTTTGGGGGAAAAAAGTTTCAGGCAACGGGCTGTGGCAGGAAGGAGACTTGCAGCACCAGGCTGTGAGCTGCAGCTCGTATGAAGAGTGACAGGCTGCAGCGGGGAGCAGAGAGCAGCCAGTCCTCAGGGGATGGGAGAAACCTCCTAGGGACATGAGGAAACCAGGCAGAGGTTGCTGCAGCAGAATATCTTTACTGTGTAGCCTTGGAAGGCAAGGACCAACCTCCCAGGACAGAGATCAGCAAGAGAGCTGGGGTAGTGTTGTGGTTTAACCTCAGCTGGCAACTGAGCACTGCTTGCTCACTCCCCCTGCCCCAGTGGTAGAGTAAGAAGTAATCAGAAGAGTAAAAGTGAGAAAACTCATGGGTTGAGATAAGAACAGTTTAATAAGTGAAATAAAGTAAAATAGCAATAATAGAAGAATATACAAAGCAAGTGATGCATGATGCAATTGCTCACTACCTGCTGACCGATGCCCAGCCAGTTCCCGAGCAGTGATCACTGCCCCCTGGCCAACTCCCCCAGCTTATATACTGAGCATGACATCATATGGTATGGAATATCCCTTTGGACAGTTTGGGTCAGCTGTCCTGGCTATAGTCCCTCCCAGCTTTTTGTGCACCTCTTTGCTGGCAGAGTATGGGAAGCTGAAAAGTCCTTGAATTAGTATAAACACTACTCAGCAACAACTAAAACATCAGTGTGTTATCACATTGTTCTCATGCTAAATCCAAAACAGCAGCACTATGCCAGCTTCTAGGAGGAAAATTAACTCTATCCCAGCCGAAGCAAGGACAGGTAGAAACTCCTGCTCCTTTTTTCTCCGTGAATTTAGTTTAAGTTTTATTCACTTTAAAATAAATAAAAATGAGGGTCGGTTTTTTTTTTTAATTTAAAAAAATAAATTGGCTTTAAGTTTAAAGGCTGCAACATGTTTTAGGGGAGCTCACTCTTAGATATGTCTACATCTTCTACCTACTTCACAGCAGTGACTGACTTAGGTCTCATCATGCACAGCAAAATTTTAATGAGGAATGCAGCACGTTTAGAGGGTGCTTCAGTAGCTGGAAGATCGACGAAGCCAGTTGTATGTGACAAGCCAGTTTCCTGTGAAGTGCTAGCAAGTGCTTTGCAGAATACAGTACTTCACAGATCACACTGAAATGTTTTCATGTGGTGCTAAATTGGTGATGCATAACTGTGTTTATGTTAAAATAATACTTATTAAACAAAGATAAAAAATGGGGCTCTTCCCAGTATTCTCTTCTAGAAGATATCTTTCTTCATAATTGGGACTATAAATATGAATGCGGTGAAACTATTTTTGTATTCATATGTGTCAGCCTCACTGAGAGTGGAGGATTTGCAAGTGCGACACATTTTAAATAGGATTTAATGTGGTGTGCTGGTTTTGGCTGGGATAGAATTAATTTTCTTCATAGTAGCTAGTATGGAGCTATGTTTTGGATTTGTGCTGGAAACAGTGTTGATAATACGGGGATGTTTTTGTTATTGCTGAGCAGTGCTTACACAGAGTCAAGGCCTGTTCTGCTTCTCACCCCACCCCACCCACGAGTAGGCTGGAGGTGCACAAGAAGCTGGGAGGGGGCACAGCCGGGACAGCTGACCCCAACTGGCCAAAGGGACATTCCATACCATATGACATCATGCTCAGCATATAAAGCTGGAGGAAGAAGGAGGAAGGCGGGGGTGTTCGGAGTGATGGCGTTTGTCTTCCCAAGTAACCGTTACGCGTGATGGAGCCCTGCTTTCCTGGAGATGGCTGAACACCTGCCTGCCCATGGGAAGGAGTGAATGAATTCCTTGTTTTGCTTGGCTTGCGTGCGTGGCTTTTGCTTTACCTATTAAACTGTCTTTATCTCAACCCACAAGTTTTCTCACTTTTACTCTTCTGATTCTCTCCCCCATCCTGCTGTGGGGAGAGTGAGCGAGCAGCTGTGTGGTGCTTAGTTGCTGGCTGGGGTTAAAACATGACATGTGGATTTAAAGCTTTTTACAAGAGGTCCCTATGACTGTTCTAGTAGGGAGTGGAGACATAATATAACTGTAATTATGAAATGGCCTTGCATTTTGGCGGGGGAAAATGTCTTGAGAAAAAAAAATTCAGTTTTCCAGGCACAGATACAGGATAAATTACAGGAGGACTATGTGCTTGATCTCTAAATGAGGGAAATGGAAGAGTAGCAGCTATTTGTTCCTATCAAAGTGTCAAAAGAGGAAACAGTCTTTGAAAAACACTGACTGATGTTTACGTGCTTCTTCTCAAGCTGTTTCCTGTAGTGGTCAGGTGCTGATGATTTTAATTTGGACCAGTACTTTGTTCATTTTGCCCCTTTTGATCCATCTGACATGGGTAATGTATATGCTACTACTCTTAAACATGCTAATTACTAGCCTTCACTGTTCCTTTATATGATCAAACATTAAAGAGCATATAAGGGACACTTCAAAATGCCTTACAAGTGTAGAGCAAGATAATAATTTCTGATGACAAGGAATTACCAGAGTGCAGAAAGAGATTATTCTCTCTGCGTTTCACCAGAAGAAATCACAGCTGTATTTTGCTTTTATAGATTAACCTTTTCATTTTTTCACCCCGGTATTTCCAAAGCTTTCTAATAAGTGGAGCTTTGTCATTTCCTTATGCTGCTGATAAGGAAACGGGTAAGGGTAACTTAACTAGTGGGTTGGAACGTGATCTCAGGCACATGAGCAAGTTGTGTGTATGGCTTCTCTGCTGCTGCAGTGGATGCTGTGGTTTAACAGGAGGCAAGGTGTGCAGTAATGTGATTTGCAAACTGGACTACCTGTAAACCGAGGTGCTGTGTATTAGCGCTGTGAGAGCAGCCATAGCTGTAGTTATCTTACATTGCACTGGTGCAAAAAGGCAAAGCGAACGTTGGAATGTTAGAGGGGAAAAGGGGAACTGCTGCAAATTCTGCGGGTTGTTACGTAGCCTGAAGGCCCTACGTAATGTTCGACTGCAGATGCGTGATCATGTTAAGAAGGCTGGCTTGCCCATGCAGCATCACTGTAAGTTAGGAATTTTTCCTTATTTAGGAAATACTATATTTTAAAATTGTTTACATAAAATTCTGTTCATACTGAGATAAATTGGAACTTCTGAGGAATCGGGGAATGACTTTCGGCTATCTACACTGCAATTTAGTTTTAACTTTAGTAAACTGTTCCATTTCCACAGAATATTTATCATCATTATTCAAGTTGGCTCAATTTCACCTTGTCTGCTGAAGGTCATAATTTTCACAAAACTTACAGTACAGGGAGTCTTCTGGTTTCATGCTTGTCTTCTCCAGCCCTGAAACAACTCTCCCTTACTTCTGTTGCTTTTGGAGTAACAAGACAAATATTTTTTTTTTACTACAAGTATCTTCAATGTAATTGACACCAAATGTAGGCATATTGTAACTGAAGTATGGGGAAGGGAATATACTTTTCACCTCCACAGAAAACTAGACGTGTTCTTCACAGTGTATTTTGATATGCTTTAAGGTTTTCTGTTAATAAACTGTATGGCTCATGGGCTCTGAATGTGAATAAAACAAATGAGCTTATCTACCAGGAAAGCTGTATTTGTGATCTCTAGGCAGATTCTCAGCATGACAGGTTCACCCAGTGTTGCAGTGAAAGACTTAATTTGTGCTCTGAAAAATCATACTGCCTTCAGGGAATGCTAGAGGGGAGAGGAAACCTATTCTTGACCAAGAATCCTCCCCAAATAACAAGCAGAGAGGTAGTGTCATGTGAAGACATACATCTTGATTTTTGTTTGCTGTTGAGTTTATTTATCTTCTTACTCTGTTTCTGTCCTCCCTCATGCTGCTGCCTCTCCCTAGATGACAGCAGAACCACAAGCCAGCTGGATGAGTTTCAGGAGTGTCTATCCAAGTTCACACGCTACAATTCTGTCCGACCCCTGGCAACGCTGTCTTACGCTAGTGACCTCTATAATGGCTCCAGCATAGTATCCAGGTAAGACGCTGCAGCTCTGACAGTGCATCTCATGCTGATAAAGGCTTCTGAGACTGAGTTAATAACCCGTATTAAACAAGTTATGGTCTGTACTTGTATAACACTTTGCAGTTGCTTCCCAAAAATAGTTTTGTGAATATGTGATTATCATTGATCTGCGAAGGCACTCAAATACCACAGTAGTACCTTTTATTCCCATTGGTGTTGGTCAAAACCAAATGCAGAACCTTTGAGGTGCCAGTGAGTATCTGGAGCTGTCGTGATAAAGCATGAAGCCTCTTGTAGCCTCGGTCCTCTTCATGTTAGTATAGTTGCATTGTAAGTGATGCAGTTCTAGCGTTTTAAGAAACATCCATCTTGGTGTTGGGAGCTTTAAATATTGTTGGTGGATCCAGTCATAATGGCAAATATTAAATAGCTGAGTTGTTTTTAACTGCGATTGCTTGAACTCTTGAGCACTGGAAGCTCTGTTTACAGTGCTGAACACTAGTGAGGGGGTGATTGTGGTAAAGCCAACTCGACAGCTCCGTTGTTGCCAACAACAACTCTGTATCCCCTGCCATGTGGGCTGGTCATGTCCTGTGCACTGCTGCTGAAGCTCATCTGAGCCTCCCATGGACCAGTTTGGACACTTAAGCTGGTGAAATGCTATTGACTGTCTTTCAACAGAATTGGTTTCTTCTAGTTTAGCTCCATGAACCAGCTCCCTTAGGGATCAGGCTTAAGAGAGCACATAGGATAGAGAGAGGCTGGGACCTGCCAGCAGCCCTAACCTTAAACTGGTTTCAGCAGCTGTGGAAGCATACCCTGGGGGATTTAATTAGTCTGTGGTAGCTTGTTTGGAGCTGCTGGTGGTGGTGGAAAAAATGATGCAACATGTTAATTGGGAAATCTTTTCTGCATGGTATATATGCAGGACCCATTAGCTTCTTACAGGCACGTTTCACAAATTTGAATGTATTTGTTCACAGCAACCTTTTGAAGGAGGAAAGTAGTTATTTCTATTTTATACACGGGGAGCAGGAGATCCAAAGTGGCCATACCTGATGTCTTGAAAGAAACATGACAAAGACATAATGAATTGAACTTGGGTTTTTCTGAGTTTTGATCTAATGCCTTACGAAGGGGCCATTCGGACAGTGACAGAACAGCTTGAATGTTTGTTGAAAGACACCAAGAAATTTGCACTGTGTGAAGAAATGGAGGCATGTGTAGCATAGAATACATGTTTTTTTTTAAAGCAGCATTGATTCCTTAACTCCTTCAATATTTGGCAGGAATGTATAATGTCCGACTTAGCCACAAAGGTCAGAACACAATAATCACTGATCTGACATATTTAACCTACGCTGATTGGGTTCACACTAGCTGCAATGAAATGCAGATGGGAATCTCACTGCAACGTAGACAAACTTCCTCAGCTACCAACTTCAGCACAGATTGGATTTTGCTCCTTTTGCCCTTTCTTCTCCTTGACATTCTGCAAGAGCAGCATTTTTGTGGTATTTGGTTAGGAAATGCTGGAAGGGCAGTAAATCTTGCTCCCGTTTTGAAGGCATTATAATTCTTGGGTGAAATACATGTTTGAAAAGTATGTGTGTTACTGTTGTTAAAATGAAGATACTGTAGGGCCTCCCTCCAAGCCAGTGCTAGAATCAGTAGTTAAATATATTTAACTGAGTTGGAAGCCAAGTTATTTTTCAATGTTCTCTCCTGCTCATGCTTTTTATTTATCAAAGCATTTAAGAAATTTTTAGAGGTTTTAGTATGTGGGCTGAGGAAGACTGTTCATATCTGAGCATGTCCTTAAGTGCTTTGGTAAAGTAGGGCTGCTGAATGTGCTGCTGCTGTAACTCTAGCTTCTGGCTATCCAAACAGTTCCTTTAAAGTTTGAATTTGTTAACCAAGAGTTTACATGTAGTATGTGTTGGCCAACACACTTCTGTTGTTCACCATTGTCCTTCATCCAAATTAATAGACTCAAGTTCAGAGAAAGTCTGAAGCTAAATGAGGTGTGTCTCTCAGTGATGGCAGCTTAAGAGAATAGAGCAACTTTTAGGTACCCACAGATGGGCCAAATTAATTATTGGGGTGCTTTAAAAAGCTTTTTAACTGAGTGAAATGCTGCGAAAAGTTTTATCTGGCTGACTGCACTGACTTTTGAAGGTGTGCCTGGGTACGCTGTAGGAAACACTGATGAAATAATGACAAAAAGTAAGTCTTGCTGCTTAGGTGTCACTGTTGAGACAAATGCATTTAAATACGAAGCAAATATAAGGTTAATAGGTAAGGAATCATCATAAATTTTAAAAGTATTTTAAAGGGATATTTTAAGTATATTTAACAATAAAAATAGAATTGACCAGAAGTTAAACTTCCTTGTACTTAATTTAGTTTGGTTTTTTTTTTTAAATTAACTGCTGTTACAAACAGACAGAATATGAGGGTGTCTGGTTTGCATTGCTTTAACCCTACATGAAGTTCACACACTGGACTCCAGAAGCTCTGCTGGCTTAAATAAAGAGGTCTTTAAGATGTATTAGCTTTATGTTTGCGAAGGAAGAAGATGGAAATACGTTCCTTATCTGCAAAACCTTGATGTTTATTTAGAAGGGAAATAAAACTGGGTTTATGGTAACAGGATAAAAATTGTAATTAAAAACTGTATATAAACAGGCTGAAAAAACCTGAAACTGAGCAGCAGTAGTATTCTGAGCGCCTTGCCACAAGCATATTTATGAATGTCTGGACTTCTTGAGGACTAATAAAAGACCATAAACAACACTATGTAGGTTGCATTACTATAAAAATTCTGGTGCAATATTAGGAAAGCTACAGTTGCCTTTCGGGATGAAGAGCAGCCAATGCCCTGCTCTCCAGTTCTAGGTTTCCCCAGCCTGGTGGTGAGCTTGCCCGAGGGACCCACGCTGAGCCTTGCTGAGCTGGTGGCTCTGCAGTGGCTGTGCACCATCTGCATGGTGTCAGCTGTCAGTTGTGTGCCAGCAGCATGGGGCTGTGGGCAGGGGGTGAGGGACTGATGCAGGGCTGGTACCTGAGCTGTGCATCTTCCATCACAGGCTTACGGCCTTATTTGGAAAGGTGCACACAGCGAGATCATAAGCCCAGTGAGGGAGATCTTTCTTACCTTGCTTAGAAACATGCTCACAAGCAGGCTTTACAACCCTCTGTCCTTTTCCTGTATTTGCTTCAAGAAAAGCAGATTAACAGAGAAGGATGTTCAGTGAAAATGTGTTCGAGGCTTTGCAATTGCTAGTCGCTCAGTTTTGCTTTAACGTTCGGGGGACTTTCAGCATGCTTGCAATGTGAATGTACTTGTACCTCAATATGCTAAATGTTTTTTTTATACACTCAGTTCTCTTAAGTACAAAGTATTTACACGGTTTTCACAAGTATATTAAGTTTTGTTAGAATTGGGCCAAGCAATAAATTTTCCGTTTATTATGTCCCCAGACAGAGCAGTCACCAGAGCTTAACTTTTCTTCTCTCTGCTTGCTGTGGCAGTAAATAGTAAAGGCTTTCTTTTAAAGATGAGTCTGTATACTGCAGCGTTAGCATTACAATGATTTATGTAGAAAATTGCTTTAGCACTGTCAGAGGCCTTCAGAGAATAATGTGGCAGTCTTTCACATTTAAAAAAAAAAAGAACAGAAAAATCCAAGAAACAGACTACAGCAAGATGTCTGTCTGAAACCTGGTTATCAGAAAGCTGGTTCTCCCTGCTGGGTGGTTCCCAGGTCTAGTGGAAACATGAGTATGTCTGTCCCAGAGGGCCTGAGGTTTGGGGGCAAATGGTGTGGGTTTTTGTCATCTTCTCAGACTTCAAATTCTTCTGGGTTAGCTTACCATTTCTCTGAAAGGTCTTAAAATGACATCCAAAGGGGTTTGGATAGCCAAGACTAACTGTATTTATCTAAAGGCATAGTGATTTACAGCGAGAGAAAGAAACAACTTCTCTTTTGGCTGCTGAAGCCTTACTCAATTCATCTGTTGAATCTTGAGACAGTGTTCAAAAACTGGATCTTACCTTTGGGGTCCATTATTCTTTTTTTTCATTGCTTGCTTATTATTCCATTGCCTCTAAGTAATGAACAAGATATGAAAAGGTTTCTCTTAGTATTCAAACAGTACAAATAAGTTGGTTTCAAGATTGTATTTTTGTTTGTGTTAATCCTTTCAGTAACACGACCTGAAATCTTTTCTTCAAAGGTGAGCTTAAAAGAAAAACCATCCATTAGGAGCATGTTTTCCATGTTTTATTGAACCATTCTATTTTTTGTTCCCCTTTTTACTTTGGACTACAATTACTTGTCCATATAAATTCTCAGATCCAGACTTTAACAAGGTACCTTTTATTTCTGTGTCCACCATAACAAGCCCCTCTTTTCCTTTTTTTAATGACCTGGGCTGGCTAGGATTAGATGAGCCGTTTTATTAAGTTTGTGATCAGCAATGCTTCTATCTTGGTGGTAAAGATAATTGAAAGAAATGTAAGTGGGGTTATGCTTCACAGGATTATGTTTTAGAGTACCGTAGATGGTGCTCCTTGAGAAGATGAGAAATGAGGAGGGCTGAATTTTTCTTATGGTCTGTTAAATCAATCACTTCTTAAATGGACTCTTATTTACAAGTGGCAGCTCAAAACTGTGGATGGATCAGTCTTATTTGGACTGTTCCCACAACTGGAAGGAAGAGAGAAATACTTGGATAAAGAGACTTGAACTGCAGAGTGGCTGAGGAAACTTGAAGTGTAATACCCTGAACCTACTTGAAGTTTATGCCTCTCCTGTGGTTCTCTTACCTTACTTCATCTGAGGTTTTGGCCTGTAGACCAGAGGTTGTCTAGGGCTGAAATGGGATTTTGTTTAATTAGAGCTGAGTAAAGTACAGAGCCTTTCCCTTACTTTCTCTTCTTTTTCTCTGGAGTGCAGAACTGATACATTTCCTAGTACATAATTGTGGTCTGGATCCCTTGAGCAGAA